TGGCGAGAACATAGGGTATATTCTGGGGGCTGGAGGGGAGGGGGTTTGAGGGAGAGGCTCCGAAATCACAGGGTAGCTGCTGGAGCCTCTCCCCAAGATACCCGCCATGTTTCAGGAACATTGAACCAGGGGGTCCAATTCTACGGGCCCCCAAACAGGTTGCCCCATCCCCTCCATTGTTCTCTATGGTGGGGAAAAAGTTACTTTTTCCCACCATAGAGAACAATGGAGGGAATAGGCCGTCAGCACCTAAGGCGGCAGAGACACACTCAAGGGGCCAAAGAGCCGCGTGTGGCTCTAGAGCCGCAGTTTGCCTACCACCGGCCTGAAGTAATTAATTGGTGCTCACGTTAGCCGCATCTCAGTTAGCAGCCCCAATCCTGCCTAGAGATGTGAAGGCCCGGAAAAAAACCGGAAAAATTCGGGGGAAAAAAGGTTTTTTTCCGTTTTTTTCCTGAAGATTTTTTGTTTTTTTCCGAAAAATTGGAAAAATTGAAAAAAGAAAAGAAAAAAATTGATTATGGAACGTTTTATTATAACATGATTAATAAAATATTTTAAGACAAGGCGTTCAAATATTTTCCAAATCATTTCTAAAATATATATACATGGTATCAGATTGATCTAATTTCTGTGCACTGAGGACAAGCAAGTCCTAGTTACAAACTGAACTCTCCAATGCAAGAACAAGATGCATTTCTTCCTTTAGAAGGTGCTACTGTCAGAAGAAAATAAAAAGGTTTCAGTTTTGTTTTTGCATGCGGGTGGGTATTCTGTTTGTAATAATTGTTTGGATACACTATATTTTTAATATGCTAGTTGTGATAATTTCATGCCAAATAAAAATGTCCATAGTCATATTTTATGTTCCTAAAGTAACAGAATGACTTTCAATCTAGAAAAGACAAAAGTTTTCCGAAAATTTCCGTTTTCTTCCGGAAAAAAACAGAAAAAAACCGGGTTTTTCCCGAGCTTCAAAATTTCTGGAAATTTTACATCTCTAATTCCTACCACAGCCGAGGTCAAGCCTCAGCTTAGGCCGATGCCCCCACCGAGAGGCCTAATGCCTCCTGCAGCCCTTGCCGTATGTCCTCCAAAAAAATGTCGTTCCCTTGCTCAGAGAGGTGTACCCCATCCGGCCCAAAAACCTCCATGCAGTGGGGTTTAATGCACGGATGGGGCAGAAAGCGGCCCAACCCTGTATCCAGAAAGTTCTTAATATTCTTGTTAATATTCCGGAGGGCCCGATTATTCCTCTTTGGGTTCAAGACGTCGAGCCAGACCTTCCTGGGGATCATTGCCGACCATATTATACTCACCCCCGGCCAACGTTCCTTGATGACCTGCAAATCATCAATGACCTGGCGGGCCAAGGGTTTATTGAGAAACCCCAGGTCATTACCCCCCAGGTGCACAACCAGCACGTCAGGGGGCATGCGCGGGGGCCCCTGAAACAACAAAGGCAAGAGACCCTCCCAGAGAAGTCCATGGCGCCCCTGCCATTCAATGGTGGCCCACTGACTGAGGCCCAGCTGAGATCCCAACGCAGTTCCGCTTGCCCGATGTGCTGCCCAAAAGACAAAGCTGTGGCCACAGATGAGAACCCGCTTCCTCTCAGCGATCACTAAAAAACCTACGAAGGAAATAACAGATTAATCCAAAGAAAAGAAAACCATGAAGAGAAAACAAGGGTGCCCACAGAGCGAAAGGACCGCGTATACCCTAAGCGGACGGAATGGGGCGCACATAAGACTTATAGGCAGCGGAGCGCCACCTACCTAGCCGTTGAATGTCCGGGGGAGAGTAACCCAGGGCTGCCGCAGTAGATGCCGCCCCAATCCGAAAGGAATGTGTGCCAAACCTCACTCCTGACAAGCCCAATTTCGCCAGGGCCCGCGTGGTCACTGTCCAAAATTGGTGCTTAGTAAGCGGACTGCCATCCTCATGGCGACCAAATTTATATCCTGCTCCCTCTCCCCCGATTTGGAAATGAGGCCGCTAACAACATACAAAATACGAGCAATAGAGTGGTACAAAAAATCCAATAAACAAACTCTAAAAATATAAAATAATAAAAAACCTGCCCCAGTTAACATCTGTCCAATAACAAACAGGGTAGCATGGGTGGATGGTGAAGACACAGCTGGAGCCTGA